CAAGCTGCTGGCACAGTTAGATCTGCATGATGAGCTCACCGACGAGTTGGAGGCAGACGTGATGGCGGCGTGGCGTTTTCGCGAGAGACCCATGGAGAGGATGTGCGGCGGATGGACGCTCGGAGCGAGCTGATAGTCTCCTTTGACGACTTTTACACCGAGTACGCCTATGTGGTGGTCGCCTCGGGCTTCCGGCCCGAGTTTGCGGCGCGAATTGTGCCTGCGCTGGTCCGCCGCCGCGCCTGATGAAGCTGCCATGATAGCGCTGTTCAAGGAACCCGGGCCAAGATCGCCGCACTTGTCAAGGTCTACGGCATGCGGAGCGAGTGGGAGACCCTGCGGGCGAGCTTTCGCACCCCGGACGATCTCACCGTCCTTCCACGGGTGAGGTCGGTGTGGGGGAGGGGGGACAGGGGGACGGCGGGAGGGCATAGGGGACAGGGGGGCGACAGGACGACATGGGCCTACCTTGGGCCACAACCACCGCAAGCACCAGAGCCGCGGTGAGTGCAGATACAGACACCATAGTGAGGGTGGGGTGGGTGGGGTGGGGAGTGGGGTGGGTTAGGGTTGGGGTTAGGGTTAGGTGCAGCTTGGGGTCGGGGGGGGGCGCGGGGCGGTGAGGGGGTGGGGTGGCAGTGGCATCGCCGCGCTTTGGGCGGTGGCTGGACCGGGTGAGTTGGACAGAGACATGGCAGTGGGGAGGTTGTGATCGGGTGCGAATGAAGGAGGGAGGTTCTTGATTGGATAGGCTGGACAGAGGTGGAGGGTGCAAGGTGGATGCGGTGGCTTTGGCGGACTTGGTGGGGCTTTGGAGGCTGGATCGGCTTGTTCGACAGCGTGATGGCGGTGGGGCGAAGATCGTGCCCAGGCGCAGGCACTATACGCCGAGCCTCGGCGGAAACGGCCAGCTATCTGGCCATCTTGAGCTATGGCTGGCAGCACAACGCGTCTCACCTGGGACTACGCCACCCAGCTACCGCCATCGCTCGCTGCGATGGCCACACCCGATCCCATACCACCACCATCGCCAACACCCACCACCTCCCGCACGCAGCAGCCGTATCTTTGGCAAGCACAGCCAAGCCAAGGATCAACCCAGAGCAACTCACCCGCCCACTTGCCCTTCTCATCTCACCAACACGAAGAAATAACGGTACTTTGCCACCCGGCCTGTCACCGCCATCGTCATCAGCAGCAACGCACAATTGCTGCGACTCCTACAAGTCGCTAACACTCACAGCCGGCTGGCACCTTACATCGCTAAAAGCTCCGATGGCGTCGAGGAGCAGGAAGCTACCCCACCCACCAGCTTGATGACGTTGCGCGGCGACAACGACGACGACAGGCGGCCGTCTGGGCGCGCAAATCTTACCTTGATCTCGGGTGTACGCGAGCAAGCGGCTGCAGCTCATGTACATGCGGGTCACCGTGCCAATCAGTACAATGTGCTGGCAAAGATGGCGAGCGCAGTAGAAGCGAGGAAATCTCTCGGGCCGGCAACCGAGAGAGTGTGCGATGGTCACTCTCCATCCAACCAAAGTGACCGTTTTGTTGGGTGACAAGTTGTCGTTCAGGCTGGCCGAGCCGCCGGTTGGGCGGCGGAAGTGGCTCGGGCGGCAGAGAGGAGCGGCGGGGAGCGGTGACCGAGGGGGGGGGGGGGGGCACATCTGTTGAAGGCATACACCTCTCGTCGTCGACGTGTGTAGGAATGTCGGCGGCCGGAGCGTCGTCGCGTATGTTTAGGTTCAAAAAGTCCAAAGACAAGGATAAGGACAAGGACAAGGAGAAGGGCAAGAAGAAGAAGGACAAAGACAAGGACAAGAGCAAGGATAAGGACAAGAAGAAGGACAAGGACAAGAAGAAGAAGAAGAAGAAGGGCAAGGTGGTACGTACTACACACATGAGCATCTCCATCACTACCCTCCCCTCCCCCCTCCTTCCTTTCTCTCCTCCTCCCCTTCCCCCTCCTTCCCCCTTCCCCTTGGGCTTGCCAAAGGGGGAAACATGCCCGTTTGATGACCCGCACCGATCCTCCTCTACTGGGGCTACCCCCCTGGTGACCATCAGTACACCCTTGTACAGCCTTGTTCAGTGTATGCACCACATACTACCACTACTACCTACATTGTACACTCTTTGTACATCAGGAATATCACGCTCCCCTGTGTTCTTCTCCCTCCTACCCTTCCCTATGCCCCCCCAGGTACTTCCCCCCCGCCCTCCCCTCCACCGCCTGCCGTTGTTGGGTTTTTTGCTGGCCACCGTCCAACCTCCTCCCCCCCTCCCCCCCTCCTCCCCCCCCTCCACACACACATATTCTGTACCAGCTTCACCATGCCTCCACTACCATGCCCAACATGTTGTCCACAACTGCTTCCATGGTCCCCTAGCTTCCCCTTGCCAACCCAACAATCCCAAGCCCCCCCTTGGTGCAGAGGTCACAGCGGCAACGTCCATGGCTGTTCAACTAGGCTGACTCCTCCCTGTCTTCCGCCGGCAGTTTCCTACATTCTCAGCATGTTGGCCTCGATTTTACCGCCAGTCACTCCCTCGCCTCCCCGCCTCCCCCGCCTCCCCCGCCTCCCACGCCCGCGACTCACACCAGGCTATATGCACGGTTTGTATAGGGAGACGATGATGATGACATGCCCAACATTGCGGGCCTCTCGCTGGAGGACAACATGTTTGAGCTCAACATTGCCGAGTTTGACCTCATTTCGACCATCGGGACGGGCACGTTTGGACGGGTCTACCTCGCACGGCACATGACGACGTCCAAGTACTACGCCATGAAGGTGCTGAAGAAGGTGGAGGTTGTGCGGCTGAAGCAGGTCGAGCACATCACGTCGGAGAAGAACATCCTCTCGGTCATCCACCATCCGTTTATTGTCAACTTGTTCGGGGCGACGCAGGACGCCAAGAATCTGTACATGCTCCTCGAGTACGTCATTGGAGGTGAGGTCTTTACGCACCTGCGGCGCGCTGGCAAGTTCCCGCCGGACGTGACTAAGTTCTACACGGCCGAGATTGTGCTCGCGCTGGAGTACATGCACTCGCTCGACATCATCTACCGTGATCTCAAGCCCGAGAACTTGCTCCTAGACTCGAACGGGCACATCAAGATCACCGACTTTGGCTTTGCCAAAAAGGTCGAGGACCGGACATGGACCCTCTGTGGGACGCCCGAGTACCTCGCTCCCGAGATCATCCAGTCCAAGGGCCATGGCAAGGCTGTAGACTGGTGGGCCCTCGGCATCCTCGTCTATGAGATGCTCTGCGGCTACCCGCCGTTCTTCTCCGACAACCCGTTCTCCATTTACGAGGCCATTCTCGCCGGAAAGATTGCCTTCCCCTCGCACCTCGACTCGGCCGCCAAGGACCTCATCCGCAACCTGCTCAATGCAGACCTGACCAAGCGCATCGGCTGTCTCCGCAATGGTCCCGCAGACATCAAGCGCCACAAGTGGTACAAGTCTATCGACTGGGACGCCCTACTCGCCAAGCAGATCCCGGCGCCCATCATCCCCGTCACCACCTCGCCGGGTGACACCTCCAACTTTGACCAGTACGAGGAGGAGCCCGACGACCCGAGTGATCCCAACGGCGAGGATCCGTTTGCCGAGCTCTTTGCGGGCTTTTAGTCGTCGCTGTGTGATGCCGCGACCAGCCCCCCCCCCCCCCCCCAAACGTAAAACGGTGTAAGCCACGTACACCTGTCAGCAGCCATCACGACCATCCGCCGTTAGCCGAGCCGCGCCCAAAGCCCGCGCTACGCCCGTCGCCCGTCCGACTTCGCATACGCGCCGTTGGCCACTCACACGGCCACCCCAACCGCACCACGTACTCGCCCGGCCAACCACTCCACACACTCCACCCACCCACCCCATTCTCCACACAACGCCAATGGCCATTGGCGCCAAGGCAGGCAAGCCACCACCAGCCACCGTCTCCAACCCAACCACCGCCAGCACCACCGCCACCAGGAAGCCAACCAACACGACGACAACCACCACCACCACCACTGCCGCCGCCACCACCACCACTGCCACCACGACCAACAACAACAACAACAACAACAACAACAAAGCGCATGTGGCACTCGCTCCGCCTTCGCTCCCTCCGCTCTCTAGTCATGGTGTGGGAAATCTAGTCGATGACACCGAACTCGAACTGAGCTACAACTCTCCGACAAGACGACGTCGTCGTCATCATGGTCATGGTCATGGTCATGGTCATGGTCAACATGAGAGAAACATGTTGCATGACTCTCGGCGTCATGCAGAGTTTGACGCTGCTACTGCTGATGATGCTGCTGATGATGATGATGATGGTGCTGCCGTGACCGCCGCTTCTCGTCTGCCGCGGCCTGTCCTGCCCAACATTGATGCTGGTCGTGGCGGCGAGCAAGAGGCAGAAGGGGACGCTGTGGCCCAGCAAAGCCAGGTCATGGAGTTTGACTCGTACTCGGGGGACGATCGCCCGCTCTCGGCCGAGGCAGTGCTTGTTACTCCCGCGGCAGTGGTCCGGAATGGAGCCGGCGCGCACTCGCCGCCACACGGAAGAGTGGACCACCACGCAGGGCTCGGCTCGGTCTCGCCCATGTCGTCGGACTCACTCTCGTCAGACTCATCCCCATCTGTACATGCCGCAGAGTCGACGCGGGCCATGGTGTACGAGTGGGAGCAGCCGCCGGCGCCGCCACCGCCGCCGCCAAACGCCGAGGCGCAGCGGGCGGCGGTGCTCGACCGATACACCGCGGCATCGGGTGTCATTACGACGTACAAGACCCGTGACCAGCGCGAGGAGCGGATTGTGCAGGCCCGTGCCCAGCGACAGCTCGCCGAGCTCCAGACCCGGGTTGAGAGCTGTGCCGTCGCGTTGCAGCAGGCGCGCGCCAGCCTCACTGCCGCCCGCCGTGAGGTTGACGGCACGCATGCAGCCATGCGCGAGGTTGACAAGGACATCCGCAAAGTCACTCGCTCTGCGCTCCGCCAGCCATTTGAGCTCGGCTCGCTCCGCAAGAGGCGCGCTCAACTCGAGACCCAAGTGCGGCTGCAGGAGCGCGAGGTCACCGACGCCGAGCGCGCCGTGGCCCGCGCCGAGGCCGAGCTCGGCACTGCCGAGCGCGAGCGGACCAAGGTGCTTCCAATGGAGGAAGCATTGACCAAGGCCGGGCAGAGCCAGCTGGTTGAGCTCAAGGTCATTGCCAACGCGCGGCTGGAGCGTGAGCTGGCCTCGGCTTACCAAGTTGACCAGCGGGCCCGAACTCGCGAGCTGGCGCTGGTCAACGCCACCCGCAAGGAGGCAACCAAGGTTGCAGTCCAGATGGACTCGGCCGTCTCGGCCCGCCGCAAAGCCGCCGCTCGCATCAAGGCCATCCGCAAGGCTGGCGCCAATGAGGACGCAGCCGCGGCCGAGGCCACCCGCGCCGCCCTCACCGCCCGCCGCAAGGCCATCCGCGAGCTGAAGGACCATACTGAGGAGGCCCAGGCCGAAATCCGCGCAGCCAACAAGGCCCGCGCTCGCGCCGCAGCTCGCCGCCGCCGCGAGGAGGAGCGCGAGGCTGCCGCCATTCTCGCTCGTGGCGGCAATCCGGAGGAGGTCTTCCGCCGCCGCCGTCTCGAAGAAGCCTATCGCCGCCGCGCAGAGGCCGAAGAGGTCGAGCTTGAGGAGCGCAAGATGGCCATTGCCGCCCGGGTCCTCGTCGAAGAGGAGCGCCACGAGCGCCAGCTCCGCCGCGCCGATAAGCTCTCGGTCGAGCAGGCGACCAAGGCGTCGGCACAGCGACGCATTCTCTCGCGCAAGGACAAGCGTGAGGCGGTCATGGAGTATCTGCGCTCGCACAAGCGCGACGATGCTGTGCTCGACGGCGGGCTTCCGGCCCCGCAACTGGGGCCTAACTCGATCCAGCCGCCATTCCCATCGGACATTGCGCCGCGTGAGAGCTGGGCTCACCCGCTCGGCGACGAGGCGACTGCCATGACCCGCGAGCTCGAGGCTGCCGAGCGGGCCAAGTACGCCGAGCTCGTCTCGTCGCTTCCGCCACTGACTGCGAGCGCTAGCACGACAACGGGACGGGGCGAGCTGCCCAAGCTCGAGATGTCAGATGGCGAGCGCGGCTCAGGCCGCGCCACCGGTGGGGCGGACCCATTTGCCGCGTTTGTGCGCCCAATTTCGGCTCCGGCCGAGCGGGGAGGTGCAGCGCGAGGCCGGACAAGCCGTCAGTCACGCGGCAGTGATGACATGCTGGTGCCGGAGATGCAGGGCTTGTGGGAGAGTGACTCCAAGCGAGCGGGAAATCGGGCAGGCGAAGCGGTCCGGAGCGCGCGGATGCGCCGAAACGGTTCGCTGCATCGGCGGGCACGGAGCGCACGCACGTCACGGCCGCGGATCGACCCCAACTACTCGGACACGGTGCGTGTGGCCGGCTTCGAGGCCTCACCGGCCTCGCTCACCTTTGCCGACTTTGTTGTCGGCGAGCACTACTCGCAGACGTTCTCGCTGACCAACGTGTCGTATGGGTTCAACTCGTTTAAGGTGCTGGAGCTCCCGCTAGCCGTTCGTGACTTTTTCGAGGTTGCCTTTACGCCGCAAGGCAACATGTCAGCCGGCCTCTCGACCGAGCTGACAGTCACCTTCTCGCCCAAGGTCGACGAGGACCTCACCACGCTGTTGCAGATCCAGTCAAAGACCGGAGTGCTCGGCGTGCCGATTGCGGCTAAGACCCGCAAGTGCGACGTTGCGCTCGAGTCCAAGATTCTCGACTTTGGCTCGGTCGTCATCGGCGAGTCGTCAACTCTCAAGCTGACCATCATCAACTCGGGCGCTGTGCCGACTGAGTTTGAGCTCGACCCATATGTGCTCGACCGGGAGCTGCCGGAGTCGCCCGAGGTGGCGCCGCTGGCGCTGGTGCCGCTGAGTGAGTGCGTTCCGGTCACCGCCGACGAGCTTGTGCGGGCGAGCGAGCTGGCACTCTCGCGCGACGACGTGCCCGAGTTCCAGCGAATGGATGCGAGCTCGATCGAGGTGCCGGACGTCCACTTTTCGTTTGTGGTCTCGTGCTCCGACTCGGACGAGTCGGCGAGCATGCCTGGCCGTGGTGGCGGTGGCTCGGGCTCGTCGCAGACGTCTGTCTCGACCGCTGTTGGGCTCACCGCCGGCAGCGAGTCGCCTTGGGCGCAGGCAGCGGCGGAGTCGCAGGCGTCAAGCGTCGGCGGCGAGCAAGGCGAAGCCAAGGCGCGTCCCGACGTGCCGGTCTTTGGCCTCGACGCGTTTGAGGGCCGGGTACCCGGCTACGGCTTGACGTCGGTCGGAGTCACGTTCTCGCCGTCCGAGGTCGGAGTCTTTGAGCTCCACTGGCTCATCACATTTGACTCGTCAGAGAAGCGGCTGGGCGTTGTGGTGCGCGGCGTTGCCGAGCCGATTCCGATCTCTGTAGGCTCTACGGGGCTCGATCTCGGCGTGTGCTACGCAGGCCACATCTACCGCGACATTGCGGTCCTGCACAACGACTCCACGTCGACGTGTAAGATCTCACTGGCTGTGCCACCGCTGTACGCAGGATGCGTCGAGTTTCTGCCGCAGGTCGGGTTTGTGCAGGCACAGTCGTCGCTCTCTGTCCAGGTCAAGTTTGCACCGTCCGAGGAGCTGTTGGCCAAGGTGGGGCGGCTGCGCGCGAGCGTCCCACAACGGTCCGAGCTGGCACAAGGCCACGGGGCGATGGTCAACATGCCGATCAAGATTTCGGTCAAGGGTCAGGCGCTGCCTGTGTTCTTCCACCTGTACGCAGCGCTGACGTCGCCGTCGCTGGTGGTGCATCCGACAACACTCTCATTCGGCCGTGTCTCGCTTCACGCCTCGCGCGAGCTCGAGCTCAGGGTCTCGAACCCGAGCCTGCTCGTGCAGCAGTACGGGTTCCTCACGCTCGACGCCGGATGGTCGATCGAGCCGCAGGACGGGTTCGGGTCGCTGCTTCCGGGCGAGTCGCGGGTGCTCCGAGTCCAGTTCGCGCCGACGGCTGCGGTGTCGTACACCACCAAACTGGTGTGCAAGTCATCGCTGGGGCAGGAGCTTGTGGTGAGTGCCAGCGGGAGCGGGTTCAAGCCTGCGCTTGTGTTTGGCGCGCCGAGTCTTGCGCTGCCAGCCACGCCTATCGGCTCGTGCTCGTCGGCGCGAGTCTACCTGCGCAACCCGAGCAAGGTTGCACACAAGTTCGAGCTAGCGTGGGCACCCGAGCTCCCGATTGTGGTTGAGCCGTCGGTGGGCGAGGTGCCTGGGCGCGGCGAGATACTCCTGCTGGTGCTGCTGGCGCCGGGCGAGCAGACTGCCGACTTGTTACCGGCTCCGCGCGGGGCAGCTGCCAGCGCTGATGTTCCGGCTGCCAAGAACGCATCTGAAGGTGGGAATGGTGGGGGCGGGGGCGAGGTTGTGCGTCGCGAGTTGAGCGAGGAAGAGGCTGCGCTTGCGCTGCTGGAGCAGACACTGCAAAAGGTGGCTGCGGGTGGGCAGCCGCGTCGAAGCGGGACGCGGGCAATTTGGGCCGAGGCCGGTGTCCGGCGCAGTCCAGTTGTGTGCTTTGTGGCGGGTGCTCCCAAGTCCGAGGCTGTCCTTCTTGATCTTGTGCTTCCTGTTGTGGAGCCTGCGCTGGCGGTCATTTCCAACGGCGGCTCGCGGGTGCTCGACTTTGGCGAGGTGCCGATGGGGGAGCGAGTGGTCAAGACGCTGACGCTCCGCAACGAGTCGGATGAGGTGGTAGAGCCTGCGGCGGGCCCGCTTGATCCTGTCGAGTCATCGTTTGTGGTACTGTCGGGCATGCGAGCGGTGGCACCGGGCAAGAGCCTGCGGCTGCTACTGGAGTTTGCGCCGTCGTCACAGGGGCGGTACAACCAGGAGCTGGAGCTGTACAAGCGTGAAGAACTGCGGGAGCTAGGAACGAGCGCAACTGCTGTACTGAGCGTTGCGCTTGTGGGGCTTGGGTCGTCGCCGTCGCTGCTGATCGAGCCGCTCCCGCGGGCATTGTTCATGGGCGACGTCAAGCCGGGCGAGAGCGTGAGCGAGCGGTTCACGCTCACCAACTCATCATCGTCGTTTGACGTCTCGTTTGTGGCCTCGCTGCGCCGTAGCGGCGAGCTGAACCGCAGCGGCATCAACCCGTTCTCGGTCTCTGTGCCGCGCGGGCGGCTGCTTCCAGGAGAGCGACTGGAGCTTGTGGTCGAGTTTGCGCCGGACCATGCGTCGGAGCGGTATGCGGACGAACTGTTGATTGAGCTTCCGTCGGAGCACGACAACGTGCGGATTCCATTGTCGGGCGTGGCGCACGCGCGCGATGTGTTCCTGCTTGCGGTGGGGTCCGTGCCGACGCCGCTTGTGCAGGATCTTGGTGCACCGCTAGTGTTTGCAGGCATGGAAGATGAGAGCGAGCCGCGGCACGAGATTGTGGTCCAGGTCGAGCTGTTGGCGGCTGCCGATGGGCGAAGCTCTGAAGGCAAGCTGCGGTTCGGCAACGTCGCGCGCGGCGCGCCGGCGGAGCTCATCCTTGAGCCGCTCTCTGCCGATGCAGTGGCGGCTGGGTTCGAGATTCCAGGAGCGCGGACGGTGGTCCAGCCGCGGAGCGAGGAGATGCTTGTAATTCGCTACACCGGCCCACCGCGGCGAGCTGACGAGACGACCATCCACGGCCACATGGGACTCCTTGCCAAGGATGGAAAGCGAGTGAGTGTGGTCGTCGTGGCCAAGGTCACTCCCGACAGCGCAAGCAGTCGCGTCGGCTTTGCCATGGCTTAAACAAGATGACGAGCATATATGAGTCATTGACCTGTGATGGTTGAGTCTCCATCGTATCCACGTGAGGCGCCGAGTCGGTCGTCCGGCCAGTAAGCGCAGAGTCCGCTCTAAGACGGCGAGAGCTGCCACCTGACTCAAAGTCTGTCGACGGGAGCATGGCGGACTACAGCGGGATGAAGCTTGACGAGGGGCGTCAGCATGAGAAGGAGGGAGATAAGCAGTATGTGTCGTGACGCGGGAGGGGGGGGGATTTGATATGGGTGGGGCTGTATGGGTTATATGGGTGGTGGGTGGCATGGGGGACGACCTGGGGGGTGACACGGCTGGCAACGTGGACGTGGACGGCGATGCGAACAACTGCACGGACGCGGTGACATGGCCGGTGGCACGGACGGCGACATGGACGGTGGCACGGATGGCGACATGGACGGCGACATGGACGTCACACCATTTGATTGTGGTCAACCGATGCACGCCAAAGGATGACCACATCGTTGTTCAAGTGGAAGAAGGATCCCGAGGCTGCGGCAATCGCATACACGGCGGCAGGTGTGGCGTACAAGGCGGCAAAGGCACATGAGGACGTTGTGCGGGTGTGCGAGAAGGCTGCGGCGCGGCACGAGGAGACAGGTGCGATCTTCCACGCCGGACAGGCTAAAGAGCGGGCTGCTGAGGCTGCCCTCGCCCTCAACCAGCACTCGGTCGCCACCAGGCTGTACTCGGAGGCCGCGATCATGTATCGGATGAACGGCTCGCTGCCCGAGGCGCTCAAGGTCTACAACGTGGCCGCCAAGGCACTCGAAGGGAAGGACAAGTTTGGCGAGGCGCTGGACCTGCTCACTATCGCCGAAGAGCTCTTTGCTGATGGCGAGATGGACTTGCGCTTTGCTTCGGAGACGTACCGCACCGCACTCCGCATCGCCATCAAGAAGCGCGACTGGGCCCGCTCTCTTGAGCTGCTCGAAGCCCAGATCGGCCACTTTACCGCCCTTGAGCAGGACGGCATGCTGTTCAAGACCATGCTCTCATACGTGGTTGTCGCCCTCGCCTCCAACGACTACGTCGCCGCAGACCGCGCCAACACCGCGCACCTCTCAGTCCGCGGCTACCTCCGTTCCACCGAGTCCAACGCCGCCAACGACCTGCTCGATGCATTTGAGTCTGCCGATGACGACGCCATCGCCGCTGTCGCCTCTCGCCAGGTCTTCACCTTCCTCGACCAGGGTGTCCTCCGCCTTGCCCGCGCTCTCACCTCGGGTGGCGTCCGCAGTGGCGGCAAGAAGAAGTCCTCCAAGACCAAGGCCCGCTCTAAAGCTGCTGCCGCTCCGGCTGCATCTTCGCCTGACGCACCCGATGCCGCCCAGGCCGCTCGCAATGCGCTCTTTGCCGCCCCGTCCACCGCCGCTGCCGCTGCCGACGCCTCGACCACGGCGCCCCATGCTGTTCTGCCGGTCGGTGAGGACGAGCCCTCGCCTGCCGCCGATGTCGGCGCTAGTGAGCCTGCGCATGTCGTCGATGTCGGCGCTAGTGAGCCTGCGCATGTCGATGTCCTTGGCGAGGCCCAAGACGATGATGCAGATGACGACGATGAGGACTCCGACGACTCGCTGCTGTAGTTGTAGCCGTCCCCACACAAACACCCCAATCCACGCGAGATGCTGCTCTTCGAGGAAAGAGCGAGGAAAATACTGGTAGACACCCCAGTTGCCCCCTCGACCGAGTACGCCTATCTTCACCACCAATGCCCATGGGAACCAAACCCAAGTACACATGCAATACTACATGCGGGTACTTGACTCTGCATGCAGGGAGACGTAGGAGAGACAACTAATTGTGCCGTGCATGCCTACCCCCGCCACTCATCCCCTCCCCACTTGGTTTACTTTTTTTACCCCTACCTCGACACCCGCCCCTCCCCCTCACCACCCACCAACCTCATCCATCCTATCCACCCACCCGACCGCCATTCCCACACCATCAATAACACATCAAGACACCAAGAAAGTCCCAAAGAACAATGAGAAAAGAGACAGACGAAAACAATAGCTGCGTGTGCGCACAGCCTGTGATACAAGTGCGACAAAAATAATCTCCCCCCCCCCCTTTGCCCACCACCAGCCAAACGCACATGCAACGGTCGTTGCCTCCTCCTCCCAACGAATGAACGGAACGAGACACGTGGAGTCGACCTGTGTTGAGTGGGGGGGGGGGGGGAGGGGGGGAGGGGGGTACGGAGCAGAGACTCCAGCTGGTGGACACACCTCACCCCCATTGGCTATGACTACCGTGCGGGCACTCTACGACTATACGGGTGAGAATGAGGGTATGTAGGCGGAGGAGGGGGGAGGGGGAGGGGGGGACGGGGGAGGGGGGGAGGTCGTGGTGGTGACGTTGGCGGTGGGCATGGGCACGGGCATGGGCATGGGTGTGAAAGTGACTCATGGTAGAGGTGGCTGGCTGACGGGACGGGCATAGGCGATCTGTCGTTCTACGAGGGCGAGGTCATTACGGTGGTTACGGAGGATCCGGGCGATGGGTGGACCGAGGGCGAGGTGAACGGCTCGAGAGGCTTCTTCCCCACAAACTACGTAGAGGTGATCGTGGCAGAGAGTGCTTCGTCTGCTCCGCCAGCTCCGCCAGCCAAGGCTCACGCAAAGCCCATGCCGTCGTTGCCGCATGCGGGTGGTGGTGAAACAAGCAGCGGACCGGATGCGGCTGATGCGGTCATTGATGCCTCAGCCCTGGCGGCGTCCATCTCGGATGTTATGGCTGATGGCGGGGACGATGCGGGATGGGAGACGTCAGACTCGTCGGAAGATGGGTGGGGCGAGACAGGGACAGGCGCGAGTGGGCAAAGTGGAGCGAGTGCTCCGGCTGTGCCAGCGAGGTCGACGCTGGCGGCGCCGTCACCTGCTACGGCCAGGGAGCGGCGGCTGTCGACAGACATGTCACGGAGACTCTCTGTCCTCGACGCGCCGACGGTGGAGATCGACGAGCAGAACCGAATCTCTGCAGGGTTCGAGTGGGTGGCGGAGGAGGCGTACTTTTCGATCAAGGTGGCCAATCCGGAGAAGAAGAAGAAGTTTGGCGGACTCAAAAAGTACACGGCATACGTGGTGGAGACGCCAGCGCGCGGCTGGCGGGTTCTCCGACGGTACAAGCACTTTGACTGGCTCCACGAGCGGCTGGAGAAGAAGTACACAGCCATCGCTATTCCGCCGTTGCCTGAAAAGTCCGCCACAGGCCGGTTCAACGAGGACTTTATCGAGGAGCGCCGCATGGGCCTGACGTACTTTCTCAACACGCTCGCCCGCCACCCGGTCCTCCGCTCTTCGGCCGTCTTTCTGCACTTTCTCTCGGTTGACAACTCGAACGATGACACAGCGTGGAAGGCCGGAAAGCGCCAGCATGAGAAGGACGCGGTCTCGGGCGAGAACTGGTTCTTTTCGGTCGCCCCAGCTGTCGCTGTTGAGGGCCAGGCCGTGGTGCCTGTTCTAGAGACCTTTTCCAAGGATCTGAACTCGGAGCTCACGCTCTCGTCGACGCTGGAAAAGCAGCTGGAAGGGTGGCAGACTCGGTGGAGTGACGATGCCAAGGCGCTGTCGTCGCTGGCCGAGACGTACGCGACACTGGCCCAGGTCGACGAAGGGGTGCCGACGCTGCAGGCGGCGCTGGCGGCGTGTGCGCAAAAGGTGGCCAGCATCTCGCAGCTCTCGCTGGGAGCCTCGCAGGCCGAGGACATCATGCTACGCACACTGGCGCTGCATCGGACCAAGATGAAGCTCCTGCAAAAGGCGCTCAAGGTTGAGCAGAGCGCGCGCACCCGATACGTTTCGGCCTACTCCAAGGTCAACGGCCGCGAGCCTACGCCTGAGGAGTCGGTCAAGCTCGAGGTCCTCCGCTCGGCGTCGAACCGCAAGATGTGCGTGGCGCTTGCCGAGATGGCTCACTACCGGCTCACCCGTAAGGTCGACTTTAAGAACACACTGCTTGGGTACATCCGCGAGCAGGAGGCATTCCATGCCAAGGCCGGTGAGGCGTGGGCGGCCGCACGGGCGACGGTTGAGGCCATTGACGTCGACGAGCACATGTTCGACGCCTGATGCGGGCTGGCGGGCGAGCTAGCCGGTTGCCGTCTCGAAGATCGCGTCGGCGTCGGCGAGATGCACGTCGTGGACGCGCCAGCGGACAACGCGGTCGCGGCGCTCACGCCCGTTGGGCCCCACTGCATAGCAGAGGATGCCCAGCGCCGACCACGGCGCCTTGATGAAGCCGTCGGCACCGTATGACGGCGCCGTCTTGCACGGCGCGGAGCCGTAGGCCTGGCCAAATGAGGAGCTTTCACCGGACGCACGTGCATAGATGAAGACCGCCTTCTTGACCCGCGAGTTGAGGCCAGCAATGGCCTCACTCACCCCGACCGAGCGCGTGGGCGACGCCTCGTTGCGCATCTGCTGCGAGACCTGCATAAAGGCCGACATGACCCGCGATATGACAAACTTGGGCGAGCCGAGGAGGAACCGCCGGCGCCGGTCGAGCGAGTCGACCTCCGACGGCGAGGCTGGCAGCAGGGCCACCAGCTCCTCCACAACCCCGAGATAGTACGATTCGGCCTGCGCACGCGACGGCAGCGGCGTGCGCATCACGTCGCGGACGTAGCCCGACCCGTTGTTCATCTGCTGCATCCGCTCGAGGTTGACCGAGTACCGGTCGTTGAGGATCGAGACAGACGACTCGCCGGCTGCGTATGCAGCGTTGAGGATGATTGTTGAGGCCGGATCGTAGTTCTGCGGGCCCGAGTCGTCCAACCACGACCACTGTGCAAAGAGCCCGCCGCCGGTATCGCTGGCCATGCTCCTACTGCCAGGCATCCCAAACGTCATGCCGCCGTCGTCGCCGCCAAAGCCCTCGCCTCGCCGCGACCAGCCACTACCTCCGCCACGACCGCCACGACCACGGCCACGGCCACGACCGCGGGATTTGCGACTGTTGTTTCGCGACGACGATCCGCTTGAGCCCCAGCCATCCTCGCGATGCGGAGGTGACGCGCCATGCGCTGATGACGACGACGACGACCGCTTCCCGCGGCTGCTCGAGTTGCGGAAGGAGGCGCGATCTGACTTGCCACGACCCGCCTTGCCCCGACCCGCCCTGCCGCGATTAGAACGAGCAGATGGCGGCGAGGTTGCGAGAGGATCCTGCTGATTGCCAGACAAGAGCGAAGCCATTGGCGGCGACTCGCTGCGGGCAAACTTGCCCCTCGGCCCACGGCCTTTGCTCTTGCTCTGCCTCTGCTTCTGCTTCTGCTGCGGACGCCGCTGTCGCTGGCGCTGGCGCTGATGCATGTGCTTCTTCTCCTCGGCCGCCCTGCGCCAGTCGAGCGAGTCAGAGCCGCCTGCTCCAGGAGAGCCTGCTGCGGCGGCGGTGGAGGCGGTCGAGCCGGGCGTAGCGACAGTCCCGCCAGTCAGCGAGCGCCGGCGGGTGGGCGACGGTCGTTGCGTTCGTCATCGTCGTCGTCGGCCTGCTGGCCTTGTGCGATACGAACTGGACGGGGCGAGCTGGGCCGGCCACCACGAGAGGAGGATCGTCGCGTGCGTGGGCCAGCACTACGGGGTGCACTCGCGGCATCCGTGGTGGACCTGGTGTCCATGGCGGCAGAGACAAGTTGTGCGTGATGGAGGTGGTGCCCCTCCCCCCCCCCCCCCCCCCCCCCGTTGCCTCCCCCGTTGCCTCCCCCGAATGGAACAATGGGAAGAAAAGGGCACATGGCTGGAACGCAGCGAGTCGCATTGGTTGCCAGCCGACGGAGCAGTGACTGCACCAGCCGAACACCCGCCCGCGACGGAAGCAGCCCGCAGCAGAGGCACATGCACACACACACACACACGTATACATCCCTGCATCCATGCATTTATATGCACGCGCACGTGCAATCGGCTCTACGCCTTTGTCTTGGTCCTTCCCCAGCATCCATCCCCATCGATCATCGCTCCCGATGAACGCTCCCCCGTGATCACCCCGCCGCCAGGTCCGCCCGATCGATCAACCACCCGCCCATACCTAGCATGCCTTTGCACACAGGCAAGCAGGCATAGGCTGCGTTCAGCCCGACACCCCCCCCCATACCTATCCCCAGGCTAGGCCGGCCTCTTCGCCCGATCGATCACCCGCCCGATCGATCACCCGCCCGATCGATCACCCGCCCGATCGATCAGCCCGTCACCCACCTCCACCAACACCGCACATACACCTCTACAGAAAGACGACGATGGAGGCAGGCGGCGGCTTGAGCGAGAACGGACTGGTGGCCATGGAGACGGGTGAGGGGGCGGGAGCGGGTGGGCAGGTGGCGGGAATGGGCGGCAGCACAGCAGGCAGTCCGGCAGCCGGCGGAGCAGCCGCCATGGAGACCACAGAGACGAGCCATGGCGAGGCTGCGGGTGCAGGGAGCAGCAGCAACAACACAAGCAAAGGCCCAGCCGACGAGGGGGAGGCCCAGGCGCAGGCTGAGGTCGAGGCCCTGCTCGAGTCGCTCAAGGACTTTGTGCCCACGGTAGGTGCAAGGACGAGCGGGGGGGGAGGGGGGAGGGGAGGGGGGAGGGGGGGTCACTCATGGTGGGTATGGGCTTGGGAATGGGGTGGACTCTGCGGTTATGACTTGGCTGACTTGACCGGCTTCGTGGTGGACTTGGCTGGCTTGGTTGCTTGGTACTTGGGCTGGCGGTGGGACGGACATGGGATGGGCGCTGGGACGGGCGCTGGCCACTGGCCGCTGCAATGGACGCTGGCCGGGTCGCCGGATGCTGGCTATGGACGCTGAACACTGATTGGATCGGATCGGATCGGGGGGGGGGGGGGGGGGTATGCATGCGACTGGTTATTGTGGGAGGACAGATCCCACCCGAGGTTACGGCCCACTACATGGAGTCTGCGGGGTGCGTTACGACAGACATGCGGGTGCAGCAGCTGATGGCTCTGGCCGCAGAGAAGTTTGTATCCGACGTCACCAACTCGGCGCTGCAGTTCTGCAAAATCCGCCAGCAGAGCAAGAAAAAGTCGGCTGCCGACGATGCCTTTGTGCTGCGTACAGAGGACCTTGTCGCCGCGCTCCGCGACACTGGCATCAACGTCTCCAAGCCCGAGTACCTCATCAGCAAGGGCAAGCAGTAAATGTGTTTACCACGCGTCGGCCATAAGCTCGTCCTCGGCCGTCTGAATGTCGGCCTGGGTGAGGAGGAAGCCCGAGTCATCGCGGATTTCCCAGAACTCGCCGGTCGGTGGCTCGAGGCCGGCCACCACATGGACGTGGCCGAGCTTGTTGACGATCCAGAACGAGCCGGCGCCGCCGCCGGTTCCCTCATCGGACCACAGCTGGCTCGGCGGTGACGCCGCCGGCACCACCAGGCTTCGTAGGATGCACCGCATCGAGTCGAGCGCCGGTGGCTCGGGCGTCTTGGTCGCCACCATTCCCAGCGCGACGTAGCCATCGCTCGGCGGCATGGCCTCCCACACATACACTGGCTCGGCTCCGCGGAGCTGCCGCCACACCTCATGGAACCGGATCGGGTGCGGGAAGAACTCGGCGAGGACCCGGTCGAGGTTCTTGGAGCCGGTCAGCCGCGATGCAGCCTTGTCCTTGAGATGAACCGTCAGCCGCTTGCCGAGCGAGTCCTTGCTCGGCGCCTTGTACGAGTCGGAGCCGTACATGCCGAGGCAGACCCCAACCCGCCGCGCGTGGAAGACCTTACCCAGCCCCGAATGCTGCACGTCCGGGAGCCAAAGCGAGACCAACGATCGCGAGCCCGTCCCCTGCGACGTCCACACTTTGACAAAGTCGTCCACTTCGAGCGTCTTAACCTTGGTCTTGAGGAGGACGGAACGATCGACCATGGTGGCCTCGACGGCCTGTGCCTCGCCGTCCGCTCCGCTCTCCATCAGGCTCTTCGGCACCACCACCGCGTCGGTGAGGTCGTCGGCCAAGACCGTTACCGCCCAGTCCGATTCGTCCGAGTCGTGGAATGCTGCCCGGAACTCCTTCCACGTGATCTCGCCGTCGGCGTTCTGGTCGATCTCGGACACTAGCTCGCGGACCTGCTCCGGGCTCATGTTGATCCCGAGCCACTCGATGCCGCCGTACAGCTCCTCCGGGTTGAGGAACGCGTCGCCGTCGTGATCAAACAGCTGAAACGCGTCCTGCAGGTACAGGCCGCGCGATCGGAGGAGCGCACGGAACCGCTCCACCGCCGCCCGGTGCCGAAGCATGTCGTACTCGTCTGCTGTGACAAGGACGCGCTCCACAGCCTTGCCTGCGAGCGTGCCCTGCCACCGCCGCCGAAGGCTCCGCACCGCCGCAAAGTACTCGGTCCGTACCTCGACGCTGTTGTGCTGCAGCAGCCGAAGGAGCACGTTCGCCCGCTTCGACTTAAAGTGCATCTCAGAATTGAACCACCGGTAGGCATCCACCACGCCCTGCGTCGCGTACTGTGGGCCGGGGGAGTACAGCTCTGACGCGTCCAGCACCACATCGCCAAACCGGAGCGCCACGGCGGTCCGCTCGCCGCCGGTTGCAACGTCGTCCTCGTCGAGCGAAGACCACTCGGTGTCGCTTGCCGACGAGCTCGACCCGCGCGCCCCAGAGTCCTCCACGCCATCAAACACCATCCCATCAAACAGCGAGCCCGCAGCCTGCCGGAGGTGGAGCCACCCACGGATGTCCTGCGCCTCTTCGAGCGTGACTGCCACGTAGTACCGCCCGTCCTGCGCCCCATAGAACGAGTGCGACGCCATTGCCTCGATCATCTCGTCGATGTCTACAACTCCGTTGTTGTTGCGGTCCATCGCCCGGAACGCTGCCGACAGCGACGCCGCCAGGCTCTCGCGCTGCGCCTCGTACTCGGCGTCAGAGTCGTCAGAGTCGTACCCGGCGTCAGCGTTGCCTTCGCCGGCTCCGCCAAAGATCGAGCCCGGTGCGTGTGGCTTGGGGAATACATCCATGTCCAGTGACTTGAGCACATACCTCATTTCGACCTCGTTGAGGCACTCGTCTGAGTTGATGTCGAACATGCCAAACGCCGACCGCAGCTTGGCCAACTGCTCCTCGGTCAGCGGGTGCGAGTCCGGCACAGGCTCCAGGCTCGCCGCAGGCACCAGCGCCGCAACATCTGGTATGTACTCAACAAGCACCGTCACGTTCTTGAGCCGCCGGTACTTGGACGACACGCCCCACTTGGGTGCGTAGTGGTTCGTCGACACATGCATCGCAGATGGAAAGTTGAGCTCTGGCGACTGGCCCTCGGGCGTCTTGACCCGCAGCTGAGAGAGCGGGTAGAACGGACCGCCCGGCGCCTTGCACAGCCGATCCAGCCGCCACGACTTGGCCTTGGGCGCCTTGCGATAGTAGTTGCGCTTGACAGGCTCCATCACCGCAATCGCCTCCTGCTCCTGCTCGATCTCCATCTCCTGCTCCTGCTCCTGCTCCTGTTCTTGCTCTTGCTCCTGTTCTTGCTCTTGGACCATCTCAGAGGTAAATGCTCGTGCCGCCGCATCGTCCTCGTCAACCTCGGACTCGGCCTCAGACTCGGAGCCGGCCACGGCAACGTGCGGGTGGAGGACGGCCTCGACCACAGCCTTCTCCTCCGGCGTGACCACAAAGACGGCCCGCGACGCCGCGAGAGCCTCCAACCGCGCTAGCCCGTCCGAGCTCGCACTTGGCACCGTATTGTCCACCGCCATGTCAATACGCTCGCGGAAGACGTCGACGCAGTCGCGGAGCGACGGGCCGCCGCCATCCGAAGCAAGCGACAGGTGTGGCGTGTGCTCTGGCGCAAGAATAACCTCCAGCTGACGGTACGCGTGCTTTCGCCAGACGTTAGCCAGGTTCTGCTCGCGAAGGAGCGAGGCCTGCAGCTTCTCCGCCTTCATCGAGTTGATGGTCAGCCACGCCGTGACGTCGTTGAGGAAGCCTGGCGAGGCCATGTCGACCTCGGCCCGGCTCGGGTCACCGATCGCCACCTCGATCTCGATCAGCCGCAGCACCTCGGGAATGACGTAGAGGACGAGCGTCTGGCCCTTGCCAATGCCACGCATCCGGTATGCGCCTTGCGCGTAGTCACGGAACGTCATGTCCTTACCGAGCGTGAGCACCGCAGACGCCGTGTAGCTCTGCTTGATGTCCATCCCGGTCGTGTGGATCTGGTCGTAGAACGAGAACCGCTTCGACTTGGCAATTCCGCACTGCTCCAGCTTCATGACCTTGTAACCCGAGCGAACAAGAATCATCTTGCGGTCGAGCTCGTCAAGGAACACCACTCCATCCATGTCGGGAAGTCCAGCGTCAAGCAGGTACCGCGCCACTTCCTCGTTCGTCAGCCCCGTGATGAGCGCCCCAGTGTCAATGAGCGCCGAGAAGCCGGCCTCCGACTGGGCAATCTCGTCCAAAAGGCTCGTCGCGCACCAGCCTTTGGCCACAGCATGCGCAGACACAATCGACGGTGACGTGAGCGTCGAAATCATCTTGCCGTCGTCGCCGGTCTCAAACGCGCACTTGCCAAACTCGACAGGCAGCAAGTCCGACGGCGTGCCCGAGAATCCGAGCCGCGTCGCAAACAGCAGATCACCACCAAGCTCCTGGCCCGAGGCTGTGAGCTTGAGCGTCTGGAACTCCATCGTCTTGGGGAACACCATCTCGAACAGGTACCACTGGATGAGGTGCGGCGACGATGAGAGCAACTTGTACAGCACATGCATCTGCTCCGCGTCGCGAGTGTTGAGAATCTGCAACGCCCACACGTCGTCGTACGGCGAGAGGTACTTGGGCCCGTCTCCGGCAGCATCGAGCGCCTTGGCCGCGGCCACGAGCGGCGAGACCGCCACAAGCGCACCGACCTCGCCGGCCTCGCGCACCCCGCCCATCCTCACCTCCATCGACGCCGCCTTGAGCGTCGCAGCAAGGTCGAGGCCCTCAATAGCGTCGAGCTCGAGCTCGCCGGCAGCATCGCCTGTTGCGGCCGGCGGTGACGATGTGGCCGGCGATGGCTCCAGCGCAGCCATGTTGATCTGCGCCGCCTGGACAGCAGCAAGAAGGGAGTCACTGTCGAGCTCGTCGTCGGACGACGACGCAGCGTCAGCAACAGCTGCAGCAGCCGTGGCGTCGGTGGCATCCGTCTCAGCCTTGCCTTTGTCTTGGCTTGTGCCAAACGCGTCGTGCGCTCGGGACGAGGCCTTGGCCGACTCGGCAATGACCTTCCGGTTGAGGGCGCGCCACTTGGCAGAGCCGCGGACAGCGCCGCCAGCACGCTCAACCCAGGTCTGATACGTGGCACACGCAACTCGCTTCTCGTACGGGCCAGACTCGGCAGCCATGTCCTTTTTGAGCTGGGACATGACGGCGGCAAAGTCAGACGGCCGGATGCCCTCATAACGATAGGCGAGAATGGTGAGGCCCAGCACCACGTCCGGGTGCGAAAACTCCGAAGCCGGCGACGGCACATCCTTGCCGATGTACGGCACCGCAAGGAGCTTGCGCGCCTCAGGCATGGCCGGATCGCGCGCCAGCGCCATCGAGAGCGCCAGCGGTGAGAGCAGCCCGTACTTGACCCGGTTGATCTTGGAGAGAACATGCGGCATGAAACAGTTGAGCCAAGAGTACGAGAGATTGAGGAGGCGAATTTGCCCGTCATTCATGTGGGCGGCGATGGCGGCGGCGGCGTCCGGCGCGGCCACAGGCCCATGCAACAGGTACTCGTGGATTGAGGAGCGGGCCACAGCCTTGGGCATCTTCTTGTCCGCAAAGAACACCAGCATCCACTGCGCAAGAAGCGGCTTGATGGCGTCGTGGTAGTAGCCCTTGTCGAGGAGCACAAGATGCGGCGTCATCTGCAGCGCCTGCAGTCGCGAGCCAGCGTCAAGGACCGCGTCAATCTGCTCGAGCGTCGAGAGCGCAAACGTCGAGTCCTGCGCATCGACAGTCATGGCCCGCGGCGAGACTGCGTCGAGGAGGTGCCACGGCACAGCCCAGCGGAGACCATGCGCGGTAAAGTCAAGCGGATCCTTTGGCCCCATCGGCCAGTTGAGCTCAGACTTGAGCGGATGGAGCAAGAGATCGACTTCGTCCAGCATCAGCGAGCCGTCCTCAAACATCTCCAAAATGGAGACACATAGCGTTGCCTGCGCACGGAGCGCGTCAAGGAGCGGTGTGTTGCTCGCCGATGACTCGGTAATCTTGCGCTTGAGCCGAGCAATGAGCCCACGCGGAATGGCGGCGTCCTCGGACGACCGCGTCTGTTCCGACTCGAGAATGTGTACAATCTCCACAAACTTGATGGCAAACGACTTGATGGCGGTGGGCGAGGCAATGACTACCGCGCCAGACGCCCGCGCCTTGCGGAGCTTGGCAAGCAGCGACGCGTCGACCTCGGACGACCGCGAGAACTCAAAGGTGTACACAGGTTTGCGAATGAGAGACGAGAACTTTTCGCGCATCACCGACCGCGAGAACGGCAGGAGCGCCGCCGGAACAACCTGAACGACTAGCTTGGGCGAGGCCGTGAGCATGAGCGCAAGAAGCGGCGCGACAACCGTCGTCTTGCCAGCGCCCATGATCATCTGGTGGCAAAGCGAGCTACCCGACTCGACCGAGCCCATAAACTTGCCGACAAGCGTAACCTGCGCCGCGCGGAGGAGAAGGCTCGACGAGAACTCAAAAATGAGAAAGCGCGGATCATACGTCACGCCGCGGTCGCCCACCTTCATGTAGTGGCGTGAGGCCGAGAGCGCCGCCGCCAGCTCGTTGGCTTTGAGAGAGACAGCCGACGGCGACGCGCTGGAGCCCGGTGCGAGGAGGCCGAGAAGGTCGCGCGCCAGAGAGAGCGCCCGCGTCGCTGCTGCAATGCGGTTGACCACAAGGAGGGCCGAGACAAGAACGAGCTCGAGCGCCGATGCAAGCGAGAGGTCGTCAAACCATGGGTGGTAGACGCTGAGCGAGGACATGCCTTGCGGCGAGAGCAGCCACGCGACAAGCATCTCAAACGAGAGGCGCGGGACGATGCCGGCGGCAAGACTCAACCGCGCAGCAAGCGTCTGGGCAGTCCCGCCATTGACGAGCTCCATAACCGCAGAAATGGTGGCGGCAGCGCGCGCCCGGTCAGCAGCAAGCAGCGCTTCCAGCTTTGAGGCCAGCTCCGAGACCGACGTGGTGTCACAGACACGGATCGACGGCGGCAGCGCAGCGTTCGTTGCCGCAGCATGCGCGGCAACGTCAGCCGTGAGGCGCTCGAGCATGGCAACCGCAATGGGCGCCTTCGACGCCGGGTGGCGCGAGACATCAAATGGAAGTTCAGCAGAGAGCTGCTTGTCTGCAGACTTGGTCTCGACGTACAAGTCGAGGCCAAGCGGCGCGAGCGGGTTGCCAGCAAAGGCAGCGACGTCGTCCGGCGAGAGTGTCACCAGGGCGGGGAAGCGATCGGCATGCGCGTCAAGCGGGCGGAGCCGGCGGAGCGCGCACCCTGTGTTCACCACCCGCGGCGCAAGAAGGCCGTTGCTCGAGAGGTAGTCTTGGGTGACAGGGCCAACTTCAAAGGCCATTGGCGCCTGGCGCGGAGCATCGGCGACAGCTTCGGCGACGGCGGCCGAGACGTCGAGCTCCGACCAACGGGACGAGACCGCCGAGTGAACAGCCTTGAGCAGGCGAATGCCTGCGCCACCCTTCTTGAAGAATCTCGACTGCTTGGCGGCGAGCACGACCGGATAGTGCGGGAATAGGTCGCGATCGGCAGTGGCAAGCTGCGGGTGCCACGAGAGAAGCTGCAGGATCGAGCGGAGGTTAGAAGGCTCGGCAAAAACGTCATCGGGCAGGAGGCGAAGGAGAAAGTAGCCGAGTGTGTAGCCGGCGTCGTCGCGGAGGAGAAGACGAATGCCGAGCGACGAGGTGAGGAGCTCGTAGAGGAAGAGGAAGCCAAGCGGACCGGTGAGGCGAACGTCGCCAACGTCGAGGGCCGAAGCGACAAGCTCCATCGCCGGTGTGCCTGACTTGTACTCGTCGGCCGGTCGCTCGTAGAACGGCAGCGAGCGGTTAAGAAGCTTGAACTTTGAAGAGCTCTGGGCAGCCGAGTCGTCGACTGGAAGGGTCTCGAAGCAGAGCGAGGCACGGCGGACTGTCGGGAGCTTGAGAGGGAGGCGAGGTGCGGAGCGGGAGGCGCCTTCGGGACGACACCATGTGGCGCAAAGGCGGTAAAGGCCTCGTTGAGAACGCGAGTGTTGAAGACAAAGTAGTGGTGGTCAAGCGCCGAGCCGACAGCTTCGAGACACTCAAGCTCTTCGGCCATCGAGAGCCGAGCGGCGGCGGGAACGTAGTCGCGCCAGCAAAGGTAGGCCTCGAGCTCAGAGGCAAAATCGAATGGAAGCGGCATGGTGGGACGCGCCGCAAGAGTGGCCAGGCCAATCTTGACCCGAGCGGCGTGGGCAGCAGGCGAGACGTCGTCGGCAACAACAGCGAGCGAGGCAAAGATCTGTGCCTCCTCTGCCGAGAGCTCAGTGTCGGTGACAATGGACTCTGCCATGGCAACAACGTCGGCATAGCGCCGAGCAATGAACCGCCAGAGCAAGAGGTAGAGCGAGGCCGAGAGCGTGGGTGGAATGACGAATGCATGCGAGTCATGAACAGTGTAGAGGTAGTGCTTAACGTCGCCGACCGCCGCGTGCCACCGAGCATTCGAGCGGTTGAGGATGAGCGCGGTGCGGAAGAGACTTGCTCCGGGCTTCTTGAGCGGCTGGGTGAGGGCCGGGACAAGAATGGCGTACTGCGCGTAGTCATTAACGAGGACAAGTGAGGCCGGAAGGCCGTGGAGGAGCGGATCAAGCCAAGCTTCGGCAGTGGCAAGCTCGTCAGGCCCAGCAAGATGGTAGCCGGCATGCTCCGCCGAGGCGAGGCGACCGGCGGAGTCGACCACAAACGAAAGGCCGAGCCGCGGGAGCTCAACACAGCCGAGCTCGTCGGGAGCTCCCGGCTTAGACCACGGAAGAATGTGAGCCAGGTCCTCGGCGCGCATAAAGAGCTCGGCGAGCTTGCGGGCCGGCGATGATGCAGGAGTCGTGGCCAGGTTGTAGAGCGTCGCCGGCTGAGCGTCTGGCGCAGCAACAAGGCGGGCGCCGCGCGTGACAGCAGGCACGCGCGCAATGGTGGCGAGCTGGGATGGCTCGCCACCGCCTGCGGGTGAGACGACGATGAGAGTCGAGGCAAAGTCTGGTGCAGAAAGGTACGGCGACGTCGCCGCGTCTGGGGTAAAGTGCGGGTCCGGATAGCCGCGGATGATGCGGGTGGCATCGTCCTGCCAGTAGAGACGACCCTCAAGGAGGGCGTGCGGGAGGACACCGCGGAGGTAGCGAGCAGGAATAAACTGCTCCCACGCCATGTCGCCGCCAAGGCCGCGCTTGATGACAAGCGAGCGGGTCCGGATCTCGGGTGCTTGGGGGGTACCGACCGAGTACGAGGAGATCGGCTCAAGAGTGGCGAGGCAGAGCGGGGCCGATGACGTTGCAACAAGCGAGCGGAAGAGACGGCGGCCGTGCTCGGCCACGTTGAAGACATGGATAGCTGGTGGTGAGCGGGTGACGTACAGCTCCTTGAGCGTATCGCCGTGCATGCCCGAGACAACGGCATCGTTGGCAGAGGCTAGCGGCGTCTCCGAGGTCTCCACAACAAATGGGATGAGGCCCGGTAGGTTCTTGGCCACAAACGGCTCGACGAGGGCGCGGAGCCAGTGCTCCGCAGCGGAGAGCTTGGAGAGCGGGCGGAGGCCGAGGTGCGGGTAGGCGTCGCGGGTGTCGACATCCCAAACAAAGACGTCGTGGCGGATGCCGACCAAGCGCATCCATGCGCAGTGATCACGGCGCTCGACATCGACAACTTGCATGCGGGCAGCGCCGAGGGCAGAGCGGCCAAAGACAGCAACAAAGTCGGGATGGGCGCCGACATCGTCGTCAAGCACCTTCATGCGGCGCTTCTTGAGCGTAAACTCACCGAGCTGGACGTTGACCTCGGTGGCAATGTCTGCGGTGGTGACCCGGGTGAGCCAATCCCGGAACAACTCGCCATCGGTCGGCTCGGTCGAGGACATGAGGATGAGCTCGGGTTCGGGCACGTAGCGGCCGGCACACCAGGCGCGGTCAAGCGGAAGCCAGTTGCGGGCGTTGAGCGCGGCGGGGTGATCCGGCGAGTCTGGAACAACAAGGTCGGTGACCGAGCCGGCAAAAGTCATGACCTTGATGAGATGCTCCATGATGGCGTTGGTGGCGAGCGGGTGGGCCAGAAGCCAGTCGTGAATCTTGGAGCGCGCGCTCTGGAAGAGCTGGAACATCTCAATCTGCGGGAAGCCGAGATCGGCCTCGACTGCAGCCTCAAGCGATGCCACGTTCTCGTCGTCACGGTCAACAGCGACAAACGGAGCTGTGGCGGTGACCTCGAGCGAGAACCGGTAGTTAGCGTTGAGGAAGAGCTGCGAGGCAAGGAGACAAAAGACAGCACGCGACGAGAGCTCGCGCCAGTCGGGCATGTTCTTGAAAATGTAGCCGATGTGGGCCATGATGATGCAAGCGCGCGAAATGTTGCGGCTCTTGCCCGACATGGCATCGATGCGCCACGACTCGAGGATGTCAACAACGTTGTGGGTGAGGACAAAGGCAAGGCGCGACTCGGCGTCGGCGAGAACGGTGCGAGCCGAGGGCGAGAGATCGAGCCCGCGAACGTGTGAAGCGCCGCCGACGCCAGCGGGCGCGTCGGCGGAAGACTCGCGCCAGGCTGCGTTGGTGAGGAGCGTCTGGATGTACGACTGGACGCGGACAAGGAGGCGGATGACAAAGAGGATAACCGACGACGACGACTCGACGTAGCGCCCGGTGTCGAGCTGGAGCGCAAGCTCCAGCAGCGACTCGAGCGCCGGGAGGAGAACGTGCGGCGCGTGGAGGAGCTCGTTGAAGAGGAGGCCGGCCGGCGTGGCCAGATGGTCCTTGGTCGGCGACGGAATGACTGCCGGTGCAACGCGGTCGCTGGTGTCAAGCCAGAGGCCAGGCTCAAAGAGGGTGGCGTCCAGCACGTCCTGCAGCAGCGGGGAAGCCAGGGCCTGGATGCGGGCGTCGTCGGCAAAGAACCGGATAACAAGCGGGATGCGAATGTAGGGGACAGTGAGGAAGGAGAGAAGGAGCTCGGCATCGGCAGGCGCAAGCGTCTTGTCAAAGTCGGGCAGGTTCTGGATGTGCAGCACGTCTTCTTCGGAGGTGATGGGCGAGCCAGCAAGGACAGACGGGTCCGAGCCGGTGGGCGGAGCGCGGGAAGCAATGCCCGCGAGGCGCTCGGCCTTGGCACGGGCTTTAGCACCAAAGAAGCCGCCGAGCTTGGCCACGAGCTTGGCGCCCGAGGTAGGGCCGGTGACAACCGGGTCGAGCTTTTCATCAAAGCCGGTGACGACAAAGACTTCGTCCGAACTTTGGTACGAGAATGAGAGCGCCGCGTCGTTCGGCCGCCACGCCTTGAGCGGCGGGAGCGCGGATGAGGTAGGCGCCATGAGCAGCTTAAAGGTGAAGACAATGTCGCGGAGGTGGCTCAGCTCGGGATACACGTCGACCATAAGCGGATCCTCGCCAGAGAGGTAGGCCGGGCGCTTGTCAGGCGCGTCGTCAAAGCCAAGCTGGAGCGCAAGGTTGCCGATGAAAAGCGCATCGGCGGGCGAGAAGGCGCGTGACCGCTCGTAGGCAAAGATGACATGAGAACCCGAGCCGAGCGGGTCAACAAGGGCCTCGATGTCGTCAAAGTAGTCGAGGAGCTGGGTGCGAGCGGTGACGTGAGCCGGGTCAACGAGACGCATGGTCTCGGACTCTTCGGCAAAGTGGCCCATGGTAAAGCCAAATGGTGCGAGTGGACCGGGCGCAGTGCCGTTGTAGTGGAGTGAGAGCTGGGAGACAACGTCGGCGGCCGGAACGCGAAGGATGGCGTCGGCGAGGGCGGCGATGCAGCCAAGGGTGATGATGCGGGCTGCGTCGAACGAGCGGGTAAGCTTGAGCGAGAGCGAGACAGCAGCAAAGTGGCGGGCGAGAAGCGCCAGAAGGCGAAGGAGCTCGTTCTGGGTCGCGCGGGTGATCGGAAGCGCTCGCCAGAAGCACCGGTCTGCGGCTGATGACGACGGCGGGAGCGGAAGCGGGATGACCGAGGTGAAGACCGAGACAAGGAGCGAGGCCCGAAGCGCATATGTGTTGCGGATGATGGCCGCTTGGTTGTCGAGGAGGGTGCAGACGTCAAGAGCGTTGCGAAGGAGGACAGCAACATCGGCAGGCGTGCTGACAGTCGACGCGACGGAGGTGAGTTCGACTGGGCGGAGAATTTGCGGCGCAGCGGCGTCACCAGCGAGTGCAGTCGTGTCGACAGCCTCGAACAGCCGGTCGAGGAGTGGGAAGGTCTTGGCCACGCCTGGAAGCGGCGCAGGAAGCGCCGGAAGCGGAGTAGGGAGCGACGGAGACGACGCCGCTTCAATGGCCGCAGAGAGGGCCTCGACAGCGGCGACGGCGGCATCCGACGGTGCATCGAGCGCGGCGCGTGCAAGGCCGGCACGAACAGCTCGGATCATGACAAGCTCGGAAGACGACGGCGGTGTAGCGGTGGCATCGCGCGCGACTTGCTCCGCCAGCGCAGTGACAAGCGCGACGGCGACGGCAGGCGCAGAGTCGGGCGGCGCCATGGCCAGGAGCGCAACCTTGGCTAGGAGGGCCGACGACGCGTCCGCGCCGCGCGGGGCAGGGAGGAGAGTAGCCGGCTGAGTGGCGTACGAGGCCACCGCGGCAAACGGCCTGTTGTTCAGCGCCGGGATGAGGCGCTCGTAGAGGACGGCGGCAGGGTGGAGGGGAGGTGTCGCTTGGGCATCGGCCTCGGCCGTCGGCGCCGCCAACGGGAAAAGCGAGCGGTAAGCTAGGAACCAAAAGGCCGAGTTGGTCAGCCGCTGGGTCGGAACGTTGAGGGCGGTGATGGCCATGTGCCGCGAGGCGACAGCACGCGGTGCCACAATGTCAGCAGGGTGGTAGTCTGCGCCAGGCGGGCCGGCGTTGCAGACCGTAAACGACACGGCGTCAGCCGAGGTCTTGCGGACGACAAAGACAATAAGATGAGCAACGGAAGAGGCTGGATCGCGCCAGCCGCCCGGAATGAGGAGGAGGTCGTCAACCGAGAGCGCTGCCACCCGCGAGGTCACCGACTCGAGCAGCCAAAGGAGGTCCGTCGACTCGGCCATGCGAGTGGCGATCTGTGCGCCGGCTGTGAGGGCGGCAGCCAGCGGAGGGTAGCTCGAGCTGATGGCATCGGCGTAGATGTTGAGCGTGGCAGAGAGCGCCGTGAGCGGCGTCGCCAGAGTGGTCGCCGGCGTCGTGGAAGTCGGCGGAAGCGACGGGTCGGCAAAAAGGTCGATGAGCGTCTGGGTCCGCCACAGCGGGGACGATCCGCCGCCGATGGCCGCCACAGTTCCGGCACTGGCCGCTGCTCCCGGCATGGTCGGGAGCGAGCGGGACGCGCCGGTGGCAGAGGCGGGGCTTGGGAGCGGCTTCGGCTTGACCACGGGCTTGGGCAGCGGTTTGGGCTTGACCGCGGGCTTGGGCAGCGGCTTGGACGGAGAGGCGGAGGCAGCAGCGTCAGCGGAACCAGAGACGGAGGCGGGGGTCGGCGCCGGCTCAGGGTCGGCATCAGGAACAGCCTCCGCGTCGGCATCGGCGATGGCCGAGGCGGCAGCGGTGAGGGCATCAAGGTCAAAGTCGTCATCGTCGTCCACGTTGCTGTTGACCATCTCGATGTATGATGACGGAACATAGCCCGTGGCGCCAGAGGCGGTAGAGCGGCAAAAAGCCCACTCCGGATCGGTCTCGTTGTCGAGCACGTCGAGCATGTCGCCTTGGGAGACAGCAAGGGTGTCGCCTTCGTCGCCCGCGTACTCGTACAGCGCACATGCGAGGAGTCCGCCGCCGTCGGTGGGAACCGACGTGGAAGACATGCGCGAGGGAGGGGGGGGGGAGGGGGGGGAGTAAGGCTGGTACGGTGTGGAGACAGAGTGGGGTGGGTTGCCATCAGGCGTTGCGGAATGTGGCGGTGGGGGT